ATCTATACAGTCGCTTCAGATAGCGCCGGTCATGCTAATACAACAAATAACAGCAACTTTCTTACATTGTAAAAGATATAAACTAACCTTGCAGCCTCCGAGATGAATCCGACGCTTACAGATGAGTGCAAAAGAATGATCTTCAGAAAAAATGGATGAGTGCGAAATAGATTCTCCGAGACGGGGATTCTCCGAGATGGGGTTTTAGGGTTTCACTTGGGATGGGATGGGAGTGCCACAAAACGTCCGAGACGAAGGATGGGGAGGGGGGATGAATTTTTTTAAAACAGGGGTACAATGGTAATTTCATTATGTCATATTTTGAAAGGGGTCATAATTAATAGAAGGAGAGGTCACAAATTAGGTTTTTAAAAAATGGGGTCATTTATCCAGTTTCAGTTATTGGAGGGGTCACAAATTCAAATTTCCCTAATTAAATCAAGAGGAGTGATTTAATTATGTGTAAGTTTTGATACAGGGAAGTAATTATAACCTAAAAGTGGGTAAAATTTGTAGATACAATAAATTAAATTTTATATGATGAAGGGCTAAATTATAAATAATGAAACATTGTAAGCTACGGGTGGTTTTTGGTTGGTTACATAGGAGTTATGGTCTCCAATTCAGTTACACATTACGATCGTTTCTCTCATCCCTTCATAAATAACACATAGGAAAGTTTAAAGAAATATCGAAAGCCATCGCGATCTATCTAGACTTAAATTGATCATGGTTTCAAGTATGCTTTTACCTCTTTTAGTTGAATCAATATGAGAAATAGACCTATGGCTTTAAAAACTTCCTGGTTTCATTTATTTCCAACATTTATAGGATTATTAAACGAGATATTACAAGAACCAACATCATGAGCATTACAGGGTTATGCGGTGATGCGGTGAGTGAATATAAATATGTAACATATAGAAGCTATGGACATATAATTAAGAATATTCGTAACAAACCTATGTCTATAATATTAGATTAATCAATATTCTTAGGGTGTGTTTGGGATTGATGGTAGAATAAGTTATTTAAAAAAAAAAAAAAAGAGATTTAAGTATAATTCATTTTCCAAAATCATCTTCCAGGTGTGATTCCTTAAAAATCAATTTAGAGTAATTTTAGGGGCCGTTTGTTTCGTGGAATCCAAGATTGAGACATGTGTCTGAATTCCCACGTTTGTTTTGCAGTGATGTAAGATATCCGAGTATCTCGAAATGCCTATACGGGAGGCATCTTACGAGTTTTGGATGCCCTTTTGAAACACAGCTTTTCAAGTTTCCCGTGTTGAAGGCATCCTCTTTTTACATTTTTATCCTCCATTTTTTTCTCCATACATTTTCTTTCATCAATTTTTTTAAAATTTTTCGTTAAAAATTTCTTTATTTTTATTTTTCAATTTATAATTTCCTCAATTTATTTTTAATATTGTGAAGGAATTACATTATTAATAATATTTATTATCATAAATGTGTAATTGTAAAGCAGCTTTTTTTTTTACCACCAACATACCCGTGATATTTTTCCTCTTAAAAAAATATAATGTGATGATAGAACAAATAAATTTTATCCAATATAACATAAATTATATAATTATCATCTTAGAAAACTATTAAAGTTGAAAATGAAACTTATATTAAATTAATAATGAATTAATTTGTTCTACAAAATAACATAAAAAAAATATTAAATTAATTCAAATAAATCTATTATCTGAGATGAATTTATAAATTATATAAATATTTGTGAGGGCATTTTTAAAACATTCTATAAATTTAACACATCCCTAAGAATAAATCCTGCAAAACAAACATGTCTATACAAATATTTCCGAATATCTTAAAAATATTCCTACAAAACAAACGTGGTTATTTGAAGATGTCGAACATCTAACATTTCGGGCATCTGAAATTCCGAACATCTCTAGATGTCGGTCATCTACCTTCCCGAAAAACAAACGGCACCTTAAGCTTTTCTAAAATCAATTTTTTAATTTGACAAACATGATTAGTGGAATGGAAAGAGTCATAACAAAATTGATTTTGTCCATCCCCCACATTTAATTATTTTAATATTGGATTTTTGTATCCTGCTCCTCACAATTCCATCAAGCTTGGATTTCCTATTCCCTTTGCTATTTATTTCTATCCTTCAAATTATCATAACTGAAATTTTAGGACCTAACAAGAGGACCATCTCCATTCAAGAATTTTCTACCTACTCCCTTAGAATTTTCTAATCTTCTACTTACTCCCTTGGAATTTNCAAACAAAAGGACCCTTCTGCCAGAGGGTATCAGGTATCCATTTTTAGGACCTTTTTTCCATAATAAAAGGACAATGTACCCTACAAGTGTTATGTGTTAGGTATCTTTCCAAAGAGTAATTTTCTACTTACTCTCTCTTACTTCCTGCCTCTTCCCATAGTACTCACTATTATTTGCCTTGGAGGCATTCAAAAGATTATGAATATATTGAAGAATAGTCAAATTCATTATCATACAACTATTCAGTGGAGTAAGGTTTTTGTTTGAAACTAGTTTTCTATATTTTTAAAAGATAAATCAAATGGGTTTTTTCAATGTGGAAACTTCTTAGACAGTATAGCTTCTAAATAATCATTTTCAAGCCAAAACGAGTCTAGCTCAGCGGTAATTGACATATATCTCTAACCATAAGATTGTGAGTTTGATCTCCCACTCCCACATGTATTACTTAAAAAATAATTTTCAAAACAATAAATAGAGAGAGATAATAATTTGAATGAGATATAATTAGAATTTTAGATATAGTTTAGATTATATTATTTTGAATTAGATTTCTTATTTGAATTATAATTAGGTATTATATTAGTATAAATAAGATATTAGATTTGTATTCGGAGAAATTCAATTCAATAAAATATTTTATTTCTTATTTTCTCTATTTTCTCCCCTCTCTTAAAATTAACATGATATTAGAGCCTGAAAAAATTAACAAAATAGAGATTGGAACCTACAATTTAAGGAGATTGGAGATAATTTAACTCTACTTAGTTATGCTCTCAGATGTTTCTAGCAGTAACTATTTTCTCTCTATTTAATTTTTCACATATTTGAAATTTATGTATTATTTACTTTTTAACATGGATTTGTCACTTTCTTAGACCAATTATATTAGTGCCAAGTGGACTTTTCCATCCCAAAGGTTAGAGTTTGAGACGTGAGAATTTCTCTCACCAACATTCAAACATCTGCCTCAAACACAAATGTCAATTATCAGTAAACTATATTCGCTTTGGTAAAATTTACTCATATAATACCTATATTCTTAAAAAGCTTCCACTTTTATACTTATCAATTTGATTAGAGGTCCTAAAAATTCAAAATTGGCGAATTATTTGTTGATGTGATAAGTAATTAAACTCCATTATGTACTATTATTTTATTTCGTTAATTGAAAGACATAAATTTTAGTAAAGTTTTGAAACATTATATCGATTAAAATGCTTGAAAGAGACTAGTGCTGGATCTCATTTCGAAGTCTACTTGTTACCATTTTTTAAAGTACAAAAAAATAAATAAACAATGCATACAATAATAGAACTTTTAAGATCATTGAAGTCAAATTGAAACGAAAGCTAAAAACATAAGGACTAAAAATACAATATAATTTGACCCGATAAAAATTCAAAGAGAGTAAAAAACCAGAACGATAAAGCCAACCTCGACTCGGTATTTTCCTCATTAGTCCATGTCTCTATTCTTTAGAGCTCACATGTGATGTGGTAAGGTAAAACATTCATGTTAATTTGTCTATATGGTTCTTAGGTCCTTACAATTGTTACAAAGTTGGTACATGTGATATATTATGAGTAGGGAGAGGCATCATAATATAATTTCATGTGAACATGAACATTGAGGTAGAGCAAATAAGAAATAGGGAGGAGCAATTGTCCCCCTTTCATATGAAAAATTAAAAATTATTTTCCTCTAATTGGTCCCTCTCTAAATTTACATAATTGAAAGACTGTTTACAAAGTATTTATTAAAAATTTTGCTCCTCGCTGTGAAAAATTTATAGCTTCGTTTCTAATTAAACATAGTTCAACTTGGGTCAAAGTTATTGAAAAAGAAAAGCTTATCACCTCTGTTCGTAGGAATAAATAACAACAACAACGGTGTGGAAGTAAAGAAAATAACAACAATAAAAAGATACAATAATTTACATGGAATACTCCAAACACCAGAAACATCACCACCAACCAAAAAACAAAAATAGGTAAAAAATATTGCAATTATACAGAATTCTCTTCTTTGGCCACAATTACATAAAATAAAAATAAATAAAAAGCTTTACACCACTCACGCAGTTTCTAATTAAGATGAAAAAAAAA